CTGTAGGGTGTACGTATCTATTTATCACTCCCATTACTTCACTGTGTGGACTGTAGGGTGTACGTATCTATTTACACCTCCGATTGTCTTCCTGTGTGGAATATAATGTGTACGTATCTATTTATCTCTCCCATTACTTTACTGTGTGGACTGTAGGGTGTACGTACCTATTTATATCTCCCATTGTCTTCTTGTGTGGACTGTAGAGTGTACGTATCTATGTATCTCCCATTCTCTCACTGTGCGGACTGTAGGGTGTAGGTGTCTATTTATATCTCCCATTGTCTTCCTGTGTGGACTGTAGGGTGTAGGTGTCTATTTATATCTCCCATTGTCTTCCTGTGCGGACTGCAGGGTGTACGTATCTATTTATCTCTCCTATTACTTTACTGTGTGGACTATAGGATTTACGTATCTATTAATCTCTCCCATTGTCTCACTGTGTGGACTGTAGGGTGTGCGTATCTATTTATATCTCCCATTGTCTTCCTGTGTGGACTGTAGCGTGTACGTGTCTATTTATGTCTCTCATAGTCTGACTGTGTGGACTGTAGGCTGTACGTATCTTTTTATATCTCTCATTACTTCACTATGTGGACTGTAGGGTGTACGTATCTATTTATCTCTCGCATTGTCTCACTGTGTGGACTGTAGGGTGTACTAATCTATTTGTATCTCCCATTGTCTCACTGTGTGGACTGTAGGGTATACGTGTCTTTTTATATCTCCCATTACTGCACTGTGTGGAGTGTAGAGTGCACGTATCCATTTGTATCTCCCATTACTTCACTGTGTTGACTGTAGGGTGTGAGAGACGTTATGATGCGCGTGGGAGGGCGTTCTATGTCAATCACAACACTCGCGCCACCTCATGGGATCCTCCAGCCGCAGCCAATAGTATGTCGCCATTCAGCGCAATCTATAAATATAACTGGATGTTTTAGGGTTGTATATGCATGGATTGATCATGTGCGTGCGTGTGTGTTATCTATCGTGTGCGTGTGTGTCTGTTTACTATCGTGTCGTGTGTGTCTGTTTACTATCGTGTGCGTGTGTGTATGTTTACTATCGTGTGCGTTTGTGTGTGTTTACTATCTTGTGCGTGTGTGTGTTTACTATCGTGTGTGTGTGTGTGTGTCTACTATCGTGTGCGTGTGTGTGTGTTTACTATTGTGTGCGTGTGTGTCTGTTTACTATCGTGTGGGTTTGTGTGTGTTTACTATCGTGTGCGTGTGTGTCTGTTTACGGTCACGTGCGTGTTAATGTATATCCCACTTGACCCAACGCGTGAGTGCACATGTACGTCTGCGACGGTCGTCCGTCCGTGGCTCGTCTCCGGTGGTTGTGTTGGTGTGGCTGTGTCTGTGTGGTTGTGTTTTAGTCGACCGTATGTGTGTCTGTGAGTAGTACTCGATGGACGTGCTAGTGTGTGCTGTTGCATGAGCAATCATACTTGAGCCGTTGATCCCTTCACTTTCCTTTGGGGTTAAGCTGCACCTGTATCTGTATTTAAACGCTTATCGCTTACAAACTTACACCAATTGACATTCAACCGTGCGCCCAGATGTTGCCCACGCCCACATTAGAGTTAACGTTAACGGTTACACTACCTATGATTGTTGTGGACATCAACTCGAATACTACGATGTACACTAGAATCAACGTTAAATCTTATCCTACACGGGATTAACACTACCAGTAACACGTACACAACATAGCACTGTCACCCAACACTTTAAGGTTTAGGGTTTACCCACGTGCTTGTCATTTTTTTTTATGTAACACTTTAGGGTTTAGGGTTCACCCTCGTGCTTATCATTTCTCTTCAGACGAATACGTCAGTAGAAACGGAGCCTCAGGCACATTACCACCCAACATAGAGGAACGACGAGACGCTAGCGGCAAAATATACTATGTTGACCATAACAACCGCACCACCAGTTGGATCAGGCCAGGAACCAGCAATGGCATCAGTGATCGTATGTGAGTGTGTGGGGTTATATGGTGATGTACGTGTATACGGACGAATTGTAAGTGTATGTGCATGTGTATGTGTCCTCCACTTCAAAATGATGCGCATGTGCACTTGTCTCTTTCTCATACACACACTCTCTCTGTCTCTCACCACACTCACTCACACTCTCTCACAAACACATATAAATATATATATATATATACCGTCCGCAGTGAGTGTCGAGTGGTCTAATCGTGACTTAGCGGCAGCACGCGAGTCCTTTAACCGACGGACGAGTGTAGGCAACAGCACGGCCTCTGCGAGCCAATCAAACGGCGGCAATAGGCGGACGGACAGTCACCACCAATCACATCACAGGAATACCAGTGGGGGCGCTCCAAGACAGTTGGCACGGCCGGCGTTGGAGGATGATCCTTTACCTGCTGGATGGGGTGAGTTCTATCTATAACCATGTCCAATGTGTCACTATTACTATATATATATGCATAAACGATACTAGCACAATTACACTACTAATACTAACACAATAGCAATGTGATTCTAACACACTCACATAACTGCGCTTTTCAGAGATGCGCCTGACGCCCACGGGACAGCCGTACTATATGGACCACAACAACAGGCGCACACAATGGGTAGATCCACGGTCATACGTGTAAGTGAGCAGTTGTGTGTGATATCATTTGTTATTCACATGTGTAGGCGTGTAGTTGTGTGTGTTGTTTATTTTTCTCATGTGTAAGTGTGTAGTTGTGTGTGTTGTTTATTATTCTCATGTGTAAGTGTGTAGTTGTGTGTGTTGTTTATTATCCTCATGTGTATATGTGTAGTTGTGTGTGTTATCATTTATTATTCACATGTGTAAGTGTGTTGTTGTGTGTGATAATATTTGTTATTCTCATGTGTTTATGTGTAGTTGTGTGTGTTATCATTTGTTGTTTACATTAATGAATTGTCGTGAATGATTGCAATATGAGTACCCTAAACCCCTAAATTCTTAAACTTTTAAAACCCTAAAGCAAGGTGGCTCTCCTGTTTATCCAACCTGATGCACACCAAAAGGTTGTATAGCATTTACAACTTGTACGTCAAAACTACACAAGCTCATACACTAGTCTACAGTATGAGCAACTGCTCGATACAACCTGTATGACATATACGCGACTCAATCACCAGATACGCATATACGAACCTATGGTACTAACTTAAAACTTGTGCTTTCTATATATATATATATATATATATTCATGTTTATTTGTGTTTATATTTATATATATATCAGTGTGGATCTGCCGTTACCGCG